CGGGGCCAGGAGCGGGTCAGCAGCACGAGCACACTGCCGCACACCCTCCGTATTTTGGGGTAGCACAGCAGCCCCTCTCTGCCTGCCAAGAGCTGGGCACAGCCCTGTCACACTTTCCCCAGGAGGATGTGCATGACCAGCAGCTCAGTGCAGGCAGCAGCATGGGGAGCTGGGATGGAAAGAAGAGCAAAGATAGGGTTACCTCAAACGAGCCCATTTGAGGGGTCACTGCTTCCCCCTTTTCAGGCTGGCTCGTTTCACTATTTGAGCCCCCATCCTGCCCCCGGAGACCTCTGGTTTCGGGCCACGCACTCGCACCTCCTCCTGAGGAAGCCGCAGGGGCAGGAAGCAGGACATCACCCAGGTGAACAGACATACAGAAGAGGACAGGAGAGGGAAAAGCAGTGTCAGTTAGCAGAAGACACGGAGCAAGAAGACTGCTGCGGTGGGCAAGAGCTGCCCCTGGAAGCCTTAGAGGGCTAACAGGAGAGGAGCGCAGGGCAGAAGAAAGGACAGAGGGTGGTGGAGCCCTAGAGCCTGCAAGTCCTGCAGAGGTGCTGCTGGCCCCAGGCAGGGTGAAGGGCAGGGTTATGAGCCAAACCGTACCTTGGCCCCCAGACCGTCCCGGTGCAGGATGGAGTATTTCATGAAGTGATCATCCTCAGTCTCCAGGTTTAGGGGGTCCTTCAGGGAGCCCTCCAGAATCAGCTCCTCCTGCTCCTGCCTGTCATCTGTGTCACCAGGGCCTAGCTGATGCACCACTTTCCGGATGACCTGTGAAGATCCGCAGAGCCTGGCATCAAAGCCAGCCCCAGAGCACGACGATGTCTCACTCCTTGCTCAGTCCAACCCTGAACACACGTGGCATGCAGCCTCCATCCCCTGCGCAGGGTCTGGCTGGAGAAGCATCGTGACCATAACCAAAGACAGTGGGGCACAGGTTCCCCGTATGGGCCCTCAGGCAACAGGGAAGAGCAGGACAGCTGGGCAGAGAGAAGAAAGACTGCAGCATGCCCTTGCCCACACCATGCCCTTGATCACTCACCTTCTTGGTGATAATGTTGCCTTGCTCATCTGTGAACTGCTCCTCAGTCACCTGCTCTCCAGGAAGATGAAGGACTTCGTTCCCCTGCAGTGACAGGAGGGACATCAGGGCATTTCAGGAGAGGAGCCCCTTTGCAGGCAGAACGGTACACCTGACACGCGCCCCACAACCTCCGTCCTCCGCCCTGCCCCAA